GTTTTTATGTTTATGGGGGAAAAAATCTGGTCACACGTCAAGGTCAAATTCTCACCATTATCAAACCATTAACTATGACTTTTGCCTCAATAAACTCCTAATTTGCTGTTTATTAATAGTAAGGTAGTTGTTAAATTTAGATACTGGGTAGGATTAGGGATGTAGAATATGGTCATACAGAATATGTGCTTTAAAAGCACTAATAAACAGCCAATATGTTAATAATAGGCATGCAAATAAGCAACTAGTGAGAATTGGTCCCTATACTAAAGTGTTACCAAAAGTCTCATATGCTTACCAAAGCTGAACTTAAAAAATTACTTTAAAATAATTTTCACTAAGAAAATGCCATTAAATGTACAAATAATTACAAAGTAATGGCAAATAACAGAAGTTATTTGAAGTAGAAAGACAGCGAAAATAGAAAGAAATATTGTTTTCTTGTAAAACATACTCCAATAATTTATATTTACAACCTCAAAAATATTTTTTTAGTGTGCATTTATTTGATAAAAAAATTGTAAAAAAAACTGTAATATTGCTAAATATTATTAAAGTTTTAAAGAACTGTTTTCTATTTTAATATATGTTAAAATCTATTTCTGCGATGGCAAAACTGAATTTTCGGCATCATTACTCAGTGTCACATCATCCTTTAGAAATCATTATGCTAAATTGTTGAATAGTTGTGCTGCTTAATATTTTTGTGGAAATCATGTTTTTGATTTCAAAATTAATCAAAATGAAAATTCTGTCATTAATTACTCACCCTCATGTCGTTCCAAACCCTCAAGACCTTCGTTCATCTTTGGAACACAAATGAAGATATTCTGATGAAATCCAAGAGCTTTCTGACCCTGCATTGACAGCAAGGGTCCTACCACGATCAAGGTCCAGAAAGGTACCAAGACCATCGACAAAATAGTCCATGTGACATCAGTGGTTCAACCGTAATTGTACTTTTTGTGCGCAAAAAAACCCTAAAATAACAACTTTATTCAACAATTCTAGTGCCATTTTGGAGAGTATCAGGTAGGGCTGGGCGATATAGCTAAAAAAAATTAATCAACGATATAATGTTTCATATCGTTTGGTATCGATAATTATTGACATTTTTTATAACCTTTTTTTAAAACAAAAAGCAATAGAAATTTTTTTTTAAATGTAACCACCGTATTTATAATTAACACAATTTATTGAGACAAACAACAAATATTTTTAGTTTTAAAAATCAAACACAATACCAATTAAACAAATATCTAATTTCTAATGTTTTATATGCAGATTAAATAGGTCTTTATTGTATAGGTCTAATTGTCTCCCGAGGCCACAGGAGGGCGCAATGAGCAAAATAATGCAGAGCATTTAAATTGTCAACGCAAGGAAGTAACTCTATAAAAACGTGCATTACGTCTAAATTAACTCATAAAAATCAAATATAATTTCGTAAATTGCATAAACAATTATGAACAAAACAGCATCATGTATTTATGATTGCTTAATCCAAAGAGCCGAATCGCCCATCACACAGACTGCATTTAAAAACATATGAGACGCAGTGAAAAGGAATAAACCTCCACAAATTTGTGACGTGTTTTCTAAAAGTTTAAACCGTTTTAACTTTGCATGGCTTTCTATACATCTCTTCTGTGAGATGCGAGTGCGGCACTCATATTTGTCCGTCGCTGTATATGCGTTCTGTGTGACTGGCTTGGTTTCGGTTTTAACCCATTCAAGATCTTCTCTGCATTGAGCTTTTATATTTCTCTAATATTTTGAATGAATAACGCAGCAGCGACGCGTCTCGTGGGCTAGACTAACAAAAAAATTGAAATGCAACAACGCCACTTACATCATCAATGCATCTCGCTCGCCACTGATGACGCTCCCGGACGCACTCCTAACATTTCAAATGCAAATGTTTATTTTAAAATCGACTAATTTTATGAAAATCAAATATAATTTCGTAAATTGCATAAACAATTATGAACAAAACAGCATCATGTATTTATGATTGCTTAATTATTAAGCAATAATTTAATTTATTCACAATCTCCTCATCACAGGCAGGCACAGCACTCAATTCAGCATGTGTTCGTGTTTGTGTGTGCTGTCTGCGTCACTCATAGTACGCGCCTATATCGTGTGCTATATCGAACAATTTTTCTATCGATATCGAAGGTGTACCGTCGATAAATATCTATACCTTTTTATCGCCCAGGCCTAGTATCAGGATGCATGTGCATGCTTTGATCTGCACGTAAACAATGCATACGCGTGGTGCTGCTGACGTGGAATAAACATGCGCTGCATCTTGTTTTTTTGCGAAAACAAAAAATTAAGCTTTAGCGTTAGTTCTGGCAGGTCACGTGAGTCAAGCTTGCATCAGCTGATTCTCAGCTGATCACATCTACCTATAGGAATACGACACCTATCGCGGCATTCCTATATAAGCTGTATTCAGTATTATTCAGCAGCTTTTCAGCTTGCTTCGGAGCAAATTACCCTCCTCCATCCCCAGCTCCACCTTTCGCCACAGTCAGGACTTAGCTTTCTGATATTCCTTGCTAATCACATTCTTTTATCTTGAATAAAGTGTTACACTTAAATATCATTGAGTACATTAATGATATCTGCCTTGTTCTGTTCTGTTAACCCTGGGGGGGTTATTATTGCTGCTCTCCCTGCTCATTCATGACAGGCTGCATGGATGGGCAGGGAGGTTTTTTGCCCAGAACAGAACCATATCGCCAAACCAAACTTTATGCTAAGTATCTATCATTTTGACGATAGTGGTCCTGACAGAAGTATTCTCGTAGCTTCAAAAAATTACGGTTGAACCACTAATGTCACATGGACTATTTTGTCGATGTCCTTGGTACCTTTCTGGACCTTGAACGTGGTAGGACCCTTGCTGTCTATGGAGGGCAGAAAGCTTAATTTCTGTTCCGAAGATGAACAGTCTTACGGTTTGGAATGACATGAGGGTGAGTAAATAATGAATTTTCAATTTTGGGTGAACTATCCCTTTAAAGAGAACAGCATTCATTAAAAAAAATATTTTGTGACAAATGTTTTACTGTAAATGTAACAATTTGTTACTAAAAAACAAACAATGTGAAACAAACAATACAAATTTCCTGTGCTGTTATAAAAAAGTATGGCACTCGGAATAAAGCTTGTCCAATCAAATTAATTGACCAGAACTCTATTCTATTACAAAAATATCCAAAGGCATGCGGCAGCTCTACGCAACACCAAAAGCCAACACATTTAATCTAGTCTCCTAATGAGGTTGAACAGTCTAATTTTCACTGACTCAAATGTACTGTTCTTACACAGGTATGTAAAGAGATCCAAATTTATTCTGAATGTCCGTAAATAGATTGCAGGCATTTTTGCATTGGAGAAAAATTATAGGTGAAAGAAAAACAATACCAAATGCAACCAAAAAAGAAACAGTCACTCTTGATTTCAGCTGCAATTTTGAATGCATTTAATGAAGGAGGGAAAGCGCTGACTGACCAATTACTAAAAGCACAAGCCTAGTTTTCTGTTTTGGCACAGGCTGAGGAGTATACTTGCAGTTGAATTTATCGGCCTCATTATCATAACAATGATGCATGGGAACTTGGAGTGGAACAATGTAATTATGCATAGAAATATGACTGGTTAATTTCCTTTCCATCATCAATTCTCTGCCATTCAAATCCATGCTGATTATTTGACATAACTTACGTCAAAATCAATAAATATACTGGAGATATGCAACTAGCCTAGTTCTCTGATTTAGTGACAGTTCCGTATGCAACATTTAAACAAACAAACTTCTGACTTTCATTTTGTCCTTTAAACTGCTTTCGAAACGATATGTAACTACATGAATCTGTACAGATAAGAGCATGAATATTGTGCACGGTATCAGTGTTAACTTCGGGGTGTGTGCGTCGAGGTCAGTGAAATCTAAAGTGTAATGAGCCCTAACAATTCTGTTGCACTGTACTGTCATTCATCATCTAGCCAGGCATCCAGCCACACTGCTGCTGTCTGCCCAGGCGTGAAGACACATCCTGGGCATGCAACCATGACTCAAATACCAACAGCTTTGAGGATATACAGAAAGGGACTATGAAAATAACCTTAATAGACATGTAGTTTTGATAATAAAAAATTTGCTTTTTGGATATCATACCCTTACCATTTATCCAAACTGACACTAAATCTGATATATGTACTGCCAACTCTGTATCACTGGTTCAGTTCAGATGTATGCTATTTTGTATACTGAACAAACAAATCAATAGCAGTGTCATAAGCTAAATAGTATGGACTGAGCACCTAACGCTTTAAAATGTGCAGAAATCACTGCATAATGGATGATACAAAAATGCCCCGCACCTCCCAACCACACAGCAGCAATTTCAATAAAAGCAGTCCCTACTGGTTGAAAATAAGCCTATATTTGCCTTATTGTGAGTTAGTCTAGCAATGTTCGAATGTCTGAAAATGCCTCCCAAACAATGAAGCAAATCTGCCAACTAGGCCACAAGCAATGCATTTGGAGAAGCCCACAATTTTAAAAGAACCAGTTGCTAGGGAACCATGCCATATTACAATTGAAAATATATTTCTAAAAGAAATCTCTCAACAAATGTACCGTTTAAGGAGTTTAAATGTGTTGTGCAGCTCTTCTGGGAAAGTTACAGTCACAAGGCCCATAAAGGTTAAAACTCTGTTAGGCAGTTTTATCTTAAGGGTAAAATGACAAACTAGCATCACCTCAACAAATTACAATAAAAAGGCGTGTTTTTTTTTTGTATAAGCAGTATAGGTCTATAAGTGACCTCGTCCAGGTGGTTATAAACTACATTACGTTTTAAAACATAATCAAAAATGACCAAGTTTCCAAAATATCTAATTTTCATGGATCAAATGATACGGAGCTTCTGCAGTTCTACTTAGCATGCTGACCAACAGGTTCCTGCATAAACATGTCTTACCTTGTGTCTGCATTTCAGGACCACCCCATAGGCTCCTTTGCAAAGAAAGAAAAGCTTAATAAGCTTGATTTATACCATATATGGCTTATACGCACAAGCAACTGTTTTATAAGCACTAAGATTAATGTTTTTTCTCTTTATTGAATTATATTAAAAAAAGATGCACTCACCCTCTCCTACAATCCCAAGGACTTCAAATTTATTCATCACATTACCGATGTCAGGAATCTTCATGAAGTCAAAAGATGCTGAGGTGGTGCATGTCTGGGCTGTGAGGAGCGGAAGGCCAGAGGATGGGACAGAAATCAGTGCTTGAACGGGTCATTGCAGCAAAAATCTGCTCCCGGCTGGTCACAATGCTCTTCTCATAATCAACACACACTGACACACATTCCTGCAAACTAACACAATATGCACACACACACTCTCTCTCTCTCTCTCACCTGAAGAGAAAGAGTACAGAGGTTTTGCATAGAAGGGGTCAAACAAGACTTATTCATGCATACTGCATCTTATATATTTCACATATGCATCAAATCAGATATCCAATGTTTCATCTAATGCATACATTGATTGCAGCTCATATTCTGTCTCATTTCACTCAGACAGGATGTGTGCAGGATCGTCATGAAGAACTGTGGCCCATTGTTTATTGTCACCTCAGATAAACCGAATCAAGACTGATCATTATGAATTTTCCAGCAGTTTTGGGAATAGCAAAACAACACAGCTCTGAATGAGAATTACAGGTGGGTGAACAAGGACAGTCTGAGAATGCTCTCTCCCAAACCAGAAGTCAATGATGTAATGTGCTGAAAACCCAGATGGACATCATCTCAATCACCTCAGATGTGCGACAGGTATCATCTGCGCTCGATTTGAGGGTAGTACGTGTTGCAATTACACTTAAATGCGTTTTCAGATGCGTTTCGCAAGTCATGTCGTGACACCGACAGCTCCTTGTATGTTTGTGCATTGTGCATAAACGCGGTGCATGTCTGCATCTGATGTGTTGTGCCGTATGCGCGCGCGTACGTGCGTAAATGTGTGTGTGCGCGCTGGAAATATTCGTAGGTGGATGAAAGTTCTATCATTATTTTAAGCATCTTATCCACCTGACAGTATCAAAAAATGACTGACAGCCCACACCGCTCCCACCTACTCTTAAATGAACATTAAAAAAATACGGTGCGGTAAAAAAAAATCACAACGATTTATAACAAAGTGTATAATATAAAGATCATTTACATAACCAATACTGTCTTAAACGCGTGGCATAATTGACAACAGGTGACTTCGGTCTCCTGGAGTGTGTGGGCAGGAGGTGCGCGTGTTTGTGCGAAACACCAACGATGTACCAGCCACAAACATCTAACATCCAGCGTAAAAACCAAGCGCACTGTCAATATTGTACATTTATGGAAAAAGCTCCGACCAGAATACTCACTTATGTCCAAGACAACGATGCGCAAACCGTCCCCTCGCGTCACCAAGTAACGATGTTTTCATTTTCACCTGCAGTGGTAACCCATCATTACAGCTGCAACTGTATCCACCTTCGTTCTGAGCCATTGACAACCTAACAACGCCAAATTACGGATCACAGTATGGCGACGGTTCGCTTCATGAATATTAAGCACGTCGCGCTGACGTTGCCTGGGAACCTTGCGAGTGCGTCCGGTCACGTAATCTAATTAATATTCATGAGCCAGGCCTTTGCTGTAGTAGGGTCTATAAATTGGCGTTCAGGCGAAGCGACACCAAACTGAGTGAGTGGCGGACTGCTCACACCAATAGCGTCCGAACCGAACCCGTCTGTGGCCAATCACGATGAAGGAATGCTCAGAATGGTCCAGAAGCGAGGGCTGGGGTTCGGTTGAACAATGATAATATGCATCCCTGCTCGGATGTGTTAGCCTACATTTCATACATGCATACATCCAAATTGATGTGCTCGTTTGGCGAGGCAGTGCTTGGTGTGTGTGAGTGGGTTGAGCTGGAAGATCAATTTAGCAGAGAGCTCACACTGTTTATTCTGCTGAGAAGAGGAAGAACAAGCCTTTATAAAGAAGAAGCCTTTGTAAATTATGACTGAAATATTACCAATTATTATATTGTGTAAATCTATGCTGACGTTGCCTGGGAACCTTGCGAGTGCGTCCGGTCACGTAATCTAATTAATATTCATGAGCCAGGCCTTTGCTGTAGTAGGGTCTATAAATTGGCGTTCAGGCGAAGCGACACCAAACTGAGTGAGTGGCGGACTGCTCACACCAATAGCGTCCGAACCGAACCCGTCTGTGGCCAATCACGATGAAGGAATGCTCAGAATGGTCCAGAAGCGAGGGCTGGGGTTCGGTTGAACAATGATAATATGCATCCCTGCTCGGATGTGTTACATTTCATACATGCATACATCCAAATTGATGTGCTCGTTTGGCGAGGCAGTGCTTGGTGTGTGTGAGTGGGTTGAGCTGGAAGATCAATTTAGCAGAGAGCTCACACTGTTTATTCTGCTGAGAAGAGGAAGAACAAGCCTTTATTTACTTTGTAAATTATGACTGAAATATTACCAATTATTATATTGTGTAAATCTATCTATCTATCTATCTATCTATCTATCTATCTATCTATCTATCTATCTATCTATCTATCTATCTATCTATCTATCTATCATTGTCATATGCTAGCCTATGTGTTTATGTTTTAAACTATTTTATCTCTGAGCTATGCAGTTATGCTAAATATTGCGATCGATCTTCAGTTTTGTAGCTACATTTTTAAAATTTGTATTAGCCTATTATTGTTATTATTATTTATTATCATTATTAGTGAGTATTATAGCGTGCCAGATCGTAATAAACCTATTTTACATGCAAAACGCCTATTTTTTCCCCCTAGTAGAACTCGTTTAATAGAATTACATTTTTCAAGAAATTAATTTTCAATAGCCTATTGGAAAACTCAGGACAAGCAGACTGCATGAAGTGATTCTTCGGGAAAAGCGCATGGTGCCATCTAGCGATCATCCTGATTTAAAACGTAGAATCAGATTAAATGCATGAAATTTACAAATAAATTAATAAATGATATTCCAACAAGACTAGACAACAGAAATATTATGGTAGCCTATATTGTGGTTCTAACAGAAATATAGTTTTGTTGATACGTGTTATCAGCACACTCTTATATTTAATGTAATACTATTTCTGTAAGCAAAACCCTTTTTAAGTTGTCAATAAATAATTAATTTTCATAACTAAAAAATGATACGTGATGATAAATTATGCGTCTTCACGATATCAAACCAGATAATGGACAATGGATGCCTATCATGCTTCATAAATAGCATTTTTATATTTAATTGCAACATCAATGCACATTTACTAACTTCACATTCATCATATAGTTTTTTTCCAACTCCATAACAATCTGTAAGCAATACAGCACACATCCACTTGAATTTCATTCTACGAATACTTTTTAGATTCAATTCAGTTGCAGAACGTTTCCGCTTGTAGCTAAACGTGCATTTGTAAATGAATATTGGACGTTTGAAAATCACTTTCACCAATACAAAATGATCTGTAGTTCTTCAATGTTCCATTGATATAAATTTGAAGGCGCAGATGCAGCTGGACATGCGCGGATCTGCGAAACATGGCGGCCTATAGACCCAATGGAAAGTAAAGCAGAACAGCAGCTATCCGACCTTACACGGTGAGCAAACATTAGTGGCACATTTTTCATATTTATTATAGTGAATCAATTGCGCTGCAGTGTATTGTGCATCTAATGCGGTTGTTAAATTCCACAGTAATTCCACTGATGTTTACATGTGAGATGATGATACTGTGTATGCGCGTCCTGTGTAGGCTATTCTTCCCTGAACTAAAACAGCTCCCTGCTTCTCTCTAATTGGTACACTGGTGCTGAGTGCATGCGGAAAACAATTTTCAGTGCATCGGAAATTATGTCTGATATATGTGTTATGTATTACATGCATATATTTGCTTAGTAAAACAATGAAAATAATTCTTGTAGTTTTTAACACTGCCTTTTCAGATAGAAGCATCTGTCACATTAATGACAGAAGGACAATTCACTGTTTAGCTGTGACACTCGTTTCAATTGTTCAAATGTTTCAATTATTTTGTCTCAGAAAAAGTTATTAATATAATGTACGCGTACATTTTTGTTTTCATTTTATCATGCTTAATATAATAGAATATTTCATTCAGTTGAAGGATATTTTCAATGCATCATTCATGTGTTGTTTTAGTAGGCTATCATTGAGATATTATTTTAGTTTTTAATTAATATTTTCCATTTTAATTTAAAGTTTATATATATAATTCAATCTAAATTAAAATGAGAAATGTTGCCTTGGCAGGTGATTTTTATTAGATCGTATTTTATTTCAGTTTTTTTTATAAAGTAATACACTTTTTAATGGTTTTAGTTGTTGTTATAGTTAACTGTAATCATTTTAATGCATATACATATTTTTTACACATGAAAACAGCATGAAAAAAAAACATTTATGCTAATCCTGTAGCAATATAGAACTCTGTATAACAATGTTTTTACATGATAATCTGAGGGTTTTGCATTTATAATTTTAATGCTTTTGTTTGTTTGTTTGTGTGCTTGTTTTTTTAAACCAGCACTATCCGATGAAACCAGAACTTTTTAAAAGAATAAAAGACCCCATCACATCAATGCATGAGATTAATTAGATCTAGGCATCTCTTGACATTCTTTTCATCTGTGAATTCCTAATATCCATTTTCACCCCCACCCTGCTTTAAAGCAGCCATGTCTGAAGAGAAAGCTTCCTGTTTGGGGGGTGTGGTGCAAGGGCCTTGAAAAGACAGACGGACAGAGAGAGAGCACAAAATGTAGACATCATCTGTTAATGGGAGGTGTTGGAATCCTTTTGATGTACTGCTGCAGACTCCCACAAATGCACACTGGCTAATGACCTTTTTATGGGGGTTTGGAATCTTTATGACGACTCTCTGAATGGGATTCACAGCTTAAGACAGAAGAATGAGGAGGAGAAGAGAGGGGGAGAGAGAGAGGTTGTCTGCTATCTAGACACAAGTGGCTAGTAGTTTCAGAGCAGAAACACTGGTGTGACATTGAAAGGACTGCATCTCTTTTTCCTTGCAAAAAGGACTTGTTTTTTTGGGGAATTTTTGGTTTTAGCATCATCTGGAGTTTTCCCTGAATCCTTTGGCTGGATAAACAAGTAAGAATAAAGTAGAAATACATGTTTTTTTACCACACATCTCTTGAAAAAGACTTTTTAAAATGTACCTTGTAGTTCCGATATGCCTATAATTGCCTTTATATTTCCAGTGATTTTTATTTTAGTTTTATCTAAATTCTCTGGAGAAAAAAAAACACATTTTTTTTTAAGTTATAAATATGATTGGAGTATATTTTACAAGAAAATGCTGTCTGGCTTTCTTTTTCAGAATTTCACATTTCATTCTTTGTAATTATTTGTGAAATTTACTTGCAATTTTTTACAGTCACCATTTTTTTCAGTGTGTAGTTGGACCTTAATAACCACCTGATATTTACATAGTCTTAAATTAGCATTTGTGTACGAAAGACATAATAACAAGGCTCATAAAACAAAACTTACAAGCACTTAACTGTACAAATTAGAGCAGATTAGATATACTTCTTATCAGTTTACAAACATTAAATACTGAAGGCTCTATTATATTTGTTAATAATTTCACTTTTGCAAACTACAAAAAAAAGAGTATTTTCAAAAGATTAATTTACTTGTTGATGGGACTAAAATGGTAGCCAAGACCCTGTTTTTCAGTCTATTTCTTTTTAATTTAGCTTTGTTGAATATCCCATTGAGAAACATTAAGTGGACTAACAGAGGAATAAAAAGCAAGTTCCTCATCCTACTGTCAGCTCACACTGGACGTCAGCTGCAGCCAATTTTCTCCAAACTGAGATGTGAATTATGACTTGCTGAGCGAGCCGGGGCTTTGATCAGTAAGCACAGGGTCCCTCAGAAGCTGCAGTAACTTATTATGATGTCAAATAGAAGAAAAGCTTTTCCTAGGCGCGCTTTGATTCTCTAAAGGTATTTGTGATTTAGTGATAATCTTTTTTTTTTTTTGGACAGTGCAATGTTGGTGGAATAAATTGCACTCAGATGCCAGTAGGGAGTATAAAGTATAATCCCTGTCTTCCGTAATGCTGTAATATGGTTTCCGTGATGGGTTCATGAACTCATGGGCCAAAGCTGATCTCTCTTGTGATAAAAGAGACAAAGAGACTGTTATTTACAGAGAAAAGGCTCTTACTAAAACTGATTTGAATATAAGTTTATATAGCCTGTTTTTTAAAAGAATTATGAAGTGTTTGGACTCTATGAATAGTTCAGTATTTTTGTATGTGTATGAATATTTTGTATTTATATTTACAGTATACTACTGGTTAGGGTTATACATTTGGTGTTTTTTAATGCTTTTGAAAGAAGAATCTTATGTTCACCAAAGATGCATTTGTTTGATTAAAAATACAGTAAAAACAGTCATATTTAAAAATGTTTTTGAACTTAAAATAATAGTTTTAAATTTGAGTATATTTCAAAATGTAATTTATTCCTGTAATGGTAAAGTTGAATTTTCTCCAGTCTTCTGTGTCTTTCTCAGAAATCATTCTAATATGCTGTTTTGGTGCTGAAGAAACATTTCTTATTATTATCAGTGTTGAAAACCTATGGAAGCCCGTTTCCGCCACTAAATAAAATATAAAACAAGGTAATTACGACTTTTTATCTCACAATTCTGACTTCTTTTCTCAGAATTACGAGTTCATATCTCGCAATTGTGACTTTATAACACGCAATTGTGAGAAAAAAAACAAAGTCAGAATTGCGGAAAAAAAAGTAAAAAAAAAAGAGTTTATATCTCGCAATTTTGACTTTATAACTCGCAATTGCATGTTATAAAGTCAGAATGGCAAGATATGAACTCTTAATTCTGACTTTATTTCTCAGAATTGCGAGTTCATATCTTGCAATTCTGAGAAAAAAAGTCAGAATTGTGAGATAAAAAGTCGTAATTACCTTGTTTTTTTTTATTCAGTGGTGGAAATGGGCTTCCATAGTAAACTGATATTTTTTTGGTAACATTATAAATGTCTTACTGCTATTTTTTTTATCAATTTAATGAGTCCTTGCTAAATAAAGTATTCATTTATTTCCAAATTTTTATTTTATTTTACTAACCTCAAACTTGTAGTAATGGATAGTGTAATGAAAAATAAATAAAAAAGAATTAAGGAAAAATAAAATGGAATGTTATTTGTATTGATACAGCATTAAAAAAAATTATTTTTCTTTGTTTCTTTCTTTCTTTCTTTCTTTCTTTCTTTCTTTCTTTCTTTCTTTCTTTCTTTCTTTCAGTTGGCTGTTTAAGAGCTGTGCTGGCTGTCCAGTTTCTGTCCACTTCATGTGGTGCTCCAGGTCACCATGGGCAAAACCCACCAGAAAGGTCAAAGTGCTACTTTGACTTTCAAAATTTCATCTTTTTTGTTAATCCTTTTTCATAATTAAGTAAATTACTTGTTTTTATTCTCAGCAATGTTTTGACATTTTGAATTGCAGACCAAAAATACAGTAATAAGGAGAAATCGGGGAGGAATAATGAGGATTCACATCCTTCACAAAAGCTCACCGGTACCGCCTCCTCTTTCTTTATTAACCTGTAAAGAAACAAATACTGTGTACTTTATCTCATTCTTCCTGATGAACATTCCTCAGAGCCGTTCAGCTGGGAAATGTACTTGAGAGAGACTTCATCCTGTCCTGCTTCCCCCAGCTGTTTCAGACAGGTAGAGCTCTTCAGTCTATTAATGATGCTGCCTTTCTGCCCAAATAAAGGGTCATCCGTGGTTGGTTGTGGCTTAATTTGTTTTAACCAATATATTTGTTATTCTTGAATTCCTTATGAGATTAAAAAGTCTGAAGATTAACAGTAACAACTTTACATTGTTACAAACGATGATAATAACCCATTTTTCTTGAGCAAAAATCAGCACATTGAAATTATCATGTGACACTGCCTGACTCCACAGACCCCAAAATAATGTGTGTACATGCAATTTTTTTTTGGCTTTCCTAATTGAAATTACTCTCATGAATTGAAATTGTAGATTGTAGACTTAAGTTTCCATTATTGCTATAATCTTCACATTATGTCATGAACATTTCATGTCTTTATTTATCCCCCCTTTGTTTGTTTTTTTCTTCCTTTCTGCAGTCCAGAGTCCCTCCTTGTAATGATTTTAAAGTGGGAATGAAAGTGGAGGCGTGTGACCCGAGGAATTCCACCTCAATGTGTATCGCCACAGTGATGGGATTAATGGGTGTGCGTCTGCGGCTCAGACTGGATGGCAGTGACAGCACCAATGATTTCTGGCGACTGGTTGACTCCTCTGACATTCAGCCTATCGGCACGTGTGAGAAGAGCGGAGATATGTTACAGCCACCACTGGGTAAAGTAGTTTTAATAAACTTCAAAGAAGGATTCAATCTAAATCCAGTTTTGGTCTAAATAAGTTGGTTTTGAGATCAGTTTTTTTTATAGATCAGTCATGTTAAAGTGATTAGCAAAGACATGTGGTTGTATCATTGTTAGAATAGTATCTAGCATTTGTTTTCCCTAAATGCAGCATAATCAGGATCTTAAAGTGATTTTTCCCCCTTGGCTGTACATATTTATAGCAATATACTTTTTTTCTTTTTGTTCATTAAACATTTCCGGTTGAATATTTATTTCCCATTATCAGGGTTCAGAATGAATGCCTCTTCATGGCCCACGTTCTTATTAAAAACATTAAGTGGGGCAGAGATGGCTCCAGCTTCAGCCTTTAAAAAGGTAATTGCTTCAATTTGTAAACCTTGCTAACAGGTTTTTCATAGATCCATGAATAAAGCTTTGAAATAAATGGAAAGTGGTTGGTTTGGTGCACAACATAAATTCAGTAAAAGCAGTAATAAATATTGCAACAAACTTTCTTTTTTTTTTTTTTTTTTCAAATATTTACATTTTAGCATACATTACCAGTCAGAAGTTTGGAATAATTAAATTAATATATATTTTTTAAATGTTTTTAAGATAAGTTTCTAATGCTTACCAAAGCTGCATTTATTTAATAAAAAAACAGTAACATTTTATTTACAATTGAATATTATTACAATCTACATTAAGTGGGGCAGAGATGGCTCCAGCTTCAGCCTTTAAAAAGGTAATTGCTTCAATTTGTAAACCTTGCTAACAGGTTTTTCATAGATCCATGAATAAAGCTTTGAAATAAATGGAAAGTGGTTGGTTTGGTGCACAACATAAATTCAGTAAAAGCAGTAATAAATATTGCAACAAACTTTCTTCTTTTTTTTTTTTTTTCAAATATTTACATTTTAGCATACATTACCAGTCAGAAGTTTGGAATAATTAAATTAATATATATTTTTTAAATGTTTTTAAGATAAGTTTCTAATGCTTACCAAAGCTGCATTTATTTAATAAAAAAACAGTAAAATTTTATTTACAATTTAATATTATTACAATCTAGCAAAGTTGATTTTTCAGCAGTCATTACTCTAGTCTTCAGTGTCACATGATCATTCACCAATAATTGTAATATGCTGATTTTGTGCTCAATTGTTATCAATTATTATTGGTGCTCAATTATTTATAATGGTTTTTAATAAAAAAAATTTGATTGAATGGAACATGCATCTTTTAAACATTATAAATGTCTTTACTGTCACTTTAGATCAATTTAATGCTTTCAAAAACATTTAAAATATTCCAAACTTTTGACCAGTAGTGTAAACAGCATATTAAAAAAAGAAAATATATCTTTCTGATGTTTTGAGGAACCAAAATTAATTTGTTATATACAATTAAAAAAAAATGTAATTGGTGTATGGATGGTTTGTTCCCTGTGAATGCCTCAGGAGCCGCCCAAACCTACTCAGAACTTCTTTAAACCTGGTTTGAAACTGGAAGCGGTGGACCGAAAGAATCCCTACCTCATCTGTCCCGCTACCATCAGAGAGATGAGAGGGGAAAAGATATTCATCATGTTTGATGGCTGGAGAGGAGCGTTCGATTACTGGTGTCAGTATGACTCCAGGGACATCTTCCCCGTGGGCTGGTGTCAACTGACCAACCACAGTCTGCAACCTCCCGGCAACTGCTGTGAGTACAGTCTCTGACCACTAGAGGTCACTACAGTTTAGTTTTTTCCTCAGTGAGTACAGCGAAAACCTTGTTTGGGAACAGGTGACCTGAGAGAGAGAGAGATCATTTTTAATCTCTTTTTTATTTTCTCAATAATGAGCATAAATCAACTTTAATTAAGTCGGTGCTCAAATATTTAGTGTCTTCAAGTCCAAGTGAACAACAGTGACATTGACTGGTCCAATTGCCACAATTCAGTTTCTTGCTTACTAGCTTTCTTTATTCTTTTTCTATTCTTTTTTACTTTTATTTTTATTTATAAAAAAATCCTGCTGAACAAAAAAACAATAGACACTATCACAACATTTGTAATGGTTTTACTGTTTATAATGTGATTTGTATTGGTTTTAATGGAAACTGTGTATCTCTACTGGTAATTGGTCACCTTCTATTGGTGGCTTGTTAAAACCACTAAATCTTAATAGAATATGTCCCAAAACACACTACAGGAAACCATTTTTAATGGTTTTAATGATTAAAAGTTGATTGTTTGTAATGTTTGTAATGGTATTTGTAGTGGAAACCATTACATTTCTGTGATGCTTTCTATTGATTTTTTCAGCAGGGGTTGACTCTCTAAACTTGCGTTCTCTACAGTAATATGTTCTCTGCTTTTTAAAAGTGTCTGCTAAATCAATAATGTAAATGAAATCAGGTCTGATATTTATAATATCCATGATTTTAAAATCTGAGAACACGTTTTCCATGGTAAAATCATTAAATTTTATGATTGAATTATTTATACATTTCATTGTAAGTTAATATTTAGTAAAAAGACTGTTATGTAGTGTTACTTATAATTATTTTAATATACAGTAAAACCATTGGTGTCAAATATATTAGAAAATTTGTAAGATATGCAATAGATTTTTTAAAATTAATTTTAAAGTTATAGAATATATTAAGAATAACTTTTCCCTTCATAAATACTAACATTGCTGCTGTCTCTACTATATAATCTATGGAAAGAAGCTTATTGTTCTTGATATTATGGAATGTGGCTTTGATTGACACTCTCTTTTGCATTTTTATTGTTTCTTTTTTCATTTCAAAATCTCACTGTAAAATTTCCTTATTGTGCATGCAATTTTTTTCTCCAATTTTTGATTACAATGCTTTACAAATAGATTTGAATTTTAGTTAACTAAACGTAGGGTAGAATTTGACTTAATTTAAGTCAAATTGAACGGGTGTTTTATTTTATTCATAATTACCTAATTAATAGAGCATGCTTGTATAGTTCATTCCTAAATCTGACATCATCTATACTCTAAAAATTAATTCAATACTTTATTGCTCTTTATTTTAAATGAGTATCTCTCTCCTTTTTTCTAACAAGCAGACACACTGCAGACACCTAATTTCTACTTGGCAGCAACGTTTACTTTGCAGGACTGCACATATCATTTCCTGATGTGCTGTAAATCTATAGGATGTGATGGTTTATCGCTGTATGTTGGTGCTGTTCAAATGTTTAACCCGTGCTCTGGCAGAATAATTGATGTGAAGTGAATGAAAATTGAGTTCTTGATGGATGATGGTAGTTATGTGTATCCTATCAGTTCTTCCTCCTCTGAATACTTTCAAGGCATGTTTACTGCTCTCTTCCTGCTTTTACCAGAGTGGACAAGACCAGACAGAAAGGATATTGTTGGGAGATGTTTACCATTTATTCTAGTCAGACACCAGAGCCTTCAAGTATGAAGTGTCTATGAGTACATATTAGCAATTAATTGCTCCATTATGGCATTCTACTGTTTGCTTGTTTGTTTGAAAGGTATTTTGGAATATTTCTCTATGAAGTTATTAGTGGAAGTAAATAAGTGGCCAAAATGAAATAATTATGTCTTTGATATTTAGAATTTAGGACACAAAAAGGATAACATTTTCTCCCGACCATCAGAGTTGGCTTTTCATTTTGAATGATTGTAATGATTGACTCAGCACTAGTTTATAGGCTGTATTGTTTAGAAGAGCTTTATACAACTCAACTTTTATTCAATTCAAATTGCTCATCTTTGACTGCACCAAGTATTCTGAATTGATTTTTACACCAAACATTGTAGATATTTTTCCTTTGAATAAATCGAACAGTCATATATGCTTTTTTCCAACACTTATTTAAGTACTACATTTAGTAAGGCCATAGGCACATTTTATATAGAAACATGAAAAAGCAAATGGTTCAGATAAATTCTGATGGTATTTTAGTGAGCTTTGAATGAAGGCATGAGAGCAGGAGCTGTGCATTTATCCTTTCCTTTGTGTGTGATTTGTCTTCATTTGCCTTGCATAGTTTTAACAGATTATTATTGAGTACCACCTTTCTAATGAGTGATACATTTTTTTTCCTGTGGGTGTTTGAAGGATGTCTTAATTTTTTTCTGTTTTTCTAGCTGGCACAGAGCACGTTGTGCACATGTGTGCATGTATTAATAATGTAGCATAGAACAACAGTAATGGGTGCTTAGGACAATGGAAAGGCAAGCTGTGGACACAAGACAAAGGATAAACATGTGGTTCAAATCTTCAGTTAGTTACAGATAAATGACACTTTTTTTCTTTTTAATTAAAATATGGTTTCAACTTAATTTCTCCTAAAAAGAAAAAAGAAAAGTGTTTAGATTTCCTGTAATCTGGAGTTGTGCTGGTTTGTGTTAGAATATATTTCTTCTGAGAGTTTTTATTCAGATCATCGATAAATCATTTAATTTGTGTTTCTCATGTACTATTAAGAAAGAGCTTTAAGATTCAGCCTCTAGTTATTCTGCATACAGTAGGAAGCACATTTGTAACAGCATTTCAGAAAGAATTAAAGCAAAATTGTCTGTCACAAATCTTTTTTTCCTTCCCATTTCAGATGAAAATTTGATACAAAAATGATTTAATTTTTTATTTAATTTTTTGATAGGCATTTTATGATTTTCTTTGGATTGAATAATTAATTTAAAAGGCAGCAATTTGCCTACTAATGTGCCAATAATAAGAATTTAATCATTTTTACATTTCCATCATGCCTTAATATATTTCAATGATTTTAATTATATTGTTTCTTAATGATAATAATAAATTGCTTTTGTTTAGTCTAAAACAGTAATCCATATTGTGGTATGCTTTGCCTAAATGATCTTCTTCATGCCTCATTTTGTTATTTTTAGAGCTGTTTATTAGCACTAGGCAGTGAAGACACTTATTAGTTATGCGTTCACCTCTGGTCCTGTTCTCAAACCTAAAGTGAGAACAACAGGGCAAGTATTCTTGATAAGTGTTGGTGCTTTTCACACATCTCGCACACTAAGGTGGCGTAATGCATTTAGAATAAATGTGTGAGACAAAGCAGACAAAACCAATTTGGCTGTAGCCTGTTTGTGTATTTGTAATAATCTTTTCTATACATTTGCATAATTTCATGGCAAATATCAAAGACTTGAGTAGGGTTTGTTTGGAATTATGAATAGGGTTTGGGATTATGACTGGTACCAGACTAAGGTCTGGTTACGAGAATATACCCGCCGGGTGTGTGAGACAGCACATAAATACCTCCAGCAGGAGCATTATTCATGCCTCTCTGTACTCGTTTGCTTCAAACCGGGTGCTCTGAATCTGATCTCCATTAAACTTTTACCCACTTCAGCCCTAAAAGCCTGGGAGGAGCTTTGAAATGGCAGGAGACTCCTGATTATAGGGGTTTGGAGTTTGTAAAATGTGAAAGTTTTTCAGTTACTAATAAAACTACCCCATTTTGCAAATTTATCTAAATAATATATTTTTTTAATTGTGCGGTGTTGTTCAAAGTTTTCAAATGTCTTGTTTTTTTATGCATGCATACATGGTTTACATTTTGTAAATTAATAAATAATTTATTATTATGAATAATAATAATAATAATAATATATATTTTTTAATATTTAAATTTTTAAGGTAAAGTCTACATTTTAATGTAACATTCATAAATATTATTATTATTAATGAATGTTGTTATTATTATTCATAAATAATAATTACTTTATTGTTATTATTATTTATGAATGATGCATTAAAATGTAGACCAAATCTAAATAATAATAATAATTTATTAGTTGAGCGGTTGACTGTGGCATAATAAAAGCTCCGCTGCTTTCGAACCATGTGTCGCGCTCGTTCAATGGCCTTCATTTCACCCTGCTTCACAATACGATGTTAATAAATCTTTAATACATTAGCTCATCCATGAACATGATTTCTTCCGTTGGATTGCATAGGCTGTGAGGATGAAGACGACAACTCCCATGATTCCACACTCAGTCACGGCGTCATCAAACTATGCCTTTGTTTGTTTTGAATACGCACCCTCTAGCATACATATTGTGCCTATAAGTAAAGATCATGTTCCATGAAGATATTTTGTAAATTTCCTACCATATCAAAACTTAATTTTTGATTAGTAATGTGCATGGATAAGAACTTTGGACAGCTTTAAAGGCAAATTTCTCAATATTTCTATTTTTATTTTATTTGTATTTTTTTTGCACCCTTAGATTCCAGATTTTCAAATAGTTGTATCTCGGCCAAATATTTATGGGATTACATCTCTGCCACAATTCTGCGTGCGAAAAATCATATTTTGAGCGCGCCAAAGTGCATTTTGCACGCGCACACTGAGTTTTGTGGAGAAAATGTTTGTCTCGCAAAGAAGAAAGTATTTCGAGCGCACGAAAATCAATTTTGCATTTAAAATACTTTTTGGGAGTTGTGCAGACCTTCTCTTTTGCGCATGCAAAGTTTCACTAGCTTGCTCCCTAGATGCCAGCCCTCAGTGCTCTCTAAATGCCAACGGCTCGCTTGCTCAACACAACCCAGTGTTACAATATGCCATAATTCCAGCCAATCAGAGACGAGGCTGCTAAATTCTGATTGGCTGCCTTGACAACTAAGGGTGGAACGGTTCGCGGAAAAAAACCGAATCGTACGGTTCTCCA